TAAGCGAATACCGATCAACGCATAAAGCTTCTAATACATTCTAGCATTTACGAGATATTTGTTCACTTTTCATGCGGCTTCTATACATGCGATCTTTTGTCTCGAGGGCAATTAACAGCAAGGCAATCCCGATGATCGACAAGTGAACGCGTGAAACCGAAACGAGCCATTATCTGCCAACAGCAATCGACACAAAGAGCATTAACGAGTTTCTATTCGATAAGATGACAACCACCCACGGATATTCAGAGGCTCGACCTTTGTTCGTGGTAGCGATAAAAAAGCGACATCAGAAATGAGAGAAGACGTTGACGCGGTTGCGCGTGTGTATTTACGTGTGTATTTTATACGAAGTGTGTATTTTATATTTATATAATCATGATACCAATTGTATTTAATACATATGAATTACTGATAAGTACATCGCAATAATAAATTATAAGTATAGTAATATTGAAAGATTATATAAGCGATACATAACTACTCAATATTATTTAACTTGCAAAAATCTCGTCTAAAATTTTGATTACGCACTGAAAAAATGGTATTATTAAAATATCTAAAAATTTAACTAGATACAGATCTGAAAAGTATGTTGGAAAAAATCATCTCTAAATAATTATATTTAACAGTTTAAAATGTCAAAATTTTTTGCAGTATTCGTAATGTTTCCTACATAATTATTTTGATTCAATATTATTGTTCAGATTTATTGTTTTCAGATTTATATTTTACAGTTAAATTTTTAGATACTTCAACAAAGCCCTGTATATATAATATGTATAAGTACCTACAATAAATATATAAATCTCGATAAATTCATTTCTATAATATATTATATTTCGGAAGGTAGAAATTGTGTTTCTTTTTGCTAATTTTATGACATCAATCAATGTGTTTTATTAAAGATGTATTATATCCATTTTTGATTAATCGTTAATGAATTTATTGCGTGTTCAATGAAAGGACTTTCATCAAAAGGATGAGTTCAAGTTCGAATCAAATGAGTTTACGTCATGCACACGTTCGCGTATGATTTTCGAAAGGCATCGAACGTCAACCACGCGTGACGGGAATAAGGCAACCGTGTCGACACATTATTTTAGCGCCATAGAAGCAGCTACATTAAAGTCTCTGCACACGGTATCGCACATAGATATCACGCGCGCACCTCCGGTTGTAAGAGAAGACATTCGGCAAACTTCCACCGATTGCATCTTTTTTCTCACGTAGATGAAGAAATTAATCACTTATATAAATCAAGTTTTATTGAATCTTCATGAATCTCATTTCTTTTCACTTCGAGTACGTATTAAAAGTTTCTCTCTAGAAACAGTGATTACGCGCCATCGATTTACCTGGTTTTTTTTTTCAATCATTCAATAAATTAGTAAATTATTTTTAATAATTCTTTCTTTTTTAACAATATAACATATACTTTTTACACACATGACTTGCATATATTATATAATTCTTGGTATTAATTATTAAATAAAATAGTGGATAAGAACGAAGAAATATGAAAGAACGAATTCTACGAAAATATGAAAGAGGAGAGTATTTAGAACGAAAGAGTGAGGCACTCTTTTATCTGTCAGCAGTAATTACTTATCTTTAATTGCAGAGGGTGGAGGGCAAGGCGAGGGACAAAAGCGATATGGAGAAAGCGAGGAAGAGTAATCGCGGAAAAAGCCGTACATTTACCAGAGAACGAGCGGGTCTCGCATTCTGGAATAAGTAGATAATTCTGGCATAACGTCGGCGTGTCACAGAATTCTGTGATGGGAATGGCGTTGACGGGATAGCGTGTGGCGACGTCTTGCTATGTGAAAATTACGCGAGCACGAGAACGATAATCATCGCTAATACGCCTCTCACATACGAATGCGGCTTTATTTATGGCTTTCCTCATCACTCGCGCACCCATTGCCCGTTACGAGGCCCCCAACTCATTCTGACCGACCGTATCGAATTTCCTCGAAATCCACCTAGTCATCCACGTATCATTTTTAACCGAGCAATCACTCGGGATTATTACAACGTTATGGACGACTCCAACACAAGCGGTTGAATAATACTTTGTGATCCGATTCAAAAACGTTGTAATTTTGGTTATTGTTTTCATTTTCGTGAAAATCCATCTCAATGTAGCGTAAACTAAATTACGAAATATAATAGAACAGAATAATATTTATTAATACTTTAGATTTGGATTTTTATGAAATAAAGAGAAAAAAAAAGTTAATAAAAAATAATGTAATATAATATATTTAATTAGGGTACAAAGTAATTATATTAATTATTAGTATGTCCGATGAATACAAAATTAATAATGAACTCCAAATTGTATTTATTCAAAATTTTCACATAAAAAAAATGTGGTCATATATTCATTTAAAATTTTGAGTTTTCAAAAAATATTTATTCACAAAAAAACTATGAATATTTAGCGAGTATTCATTCAAATAAAATATAAACTGAAAAAGAAAGTTCTAATAAGTAATCGTTACCTCTTAACTACAAATGGTACTTTAATGACTTTTATGACTATTTACTTTGATGACTTTAAACGTAAAAAAAATGAATTTTATTTATTTTTGTCATTGTAATATTTAGATTTTATAAAGGAAACTTAGAAATTTTGAAAAATATTTTAGAAAGATATACATTTTTTATTTATAAATCTATCTATTTGATAAAGCACGCCATACATATTTCGATTATACGATTAATTCCGATTATATGACAGTAATGTTATAAATATTTTATAGGATATCTAGGGCGCGACGTTCATTATGGTCTGTGGACATTAAGTTCCGAGATATATTATTCTCAATAAAAATGTTTTTGTTTAATCTATAGGTTAAACTAGGACGCCCATAATATAAGTCGCGGACTAAATGCACGATGTAATCGCGTAGCCATTGTTTTTATAGATTTCTGTTTTCTTTTGTAGGCTTGCAAGCTATGTGCAGATAATACAGAGTAAAAGTGAATACGGAATGAAAATATTCGTAATCGTATTAAAATAATATTCATTCAAATGGAATGAAAAAATATTTATTCGTTTCTTAACGAATAAAAAAGAAATGTATTCGAATGAGTACAGTATTCATTCATTTATTCGAATATTAGGTGTATTCATCGGACAAGCTATTAATTATTCGTCAGTTCGCTATGCATTCCGAAAACTTCGTACACTCCGACCGCCTGAAGATTTGCGAGTGCCGCTTCCTGACCACCCTTTCTCCCCGCTTCAATCTTTCTCCTATGTTCAATCTTCGCATCCGCCATTACGGCGGTTACCGCAGCCGCGCGTGATGAGCATACGCACATGCGTGCAACGTAGAGCAGTACATATAAAGATAGATAAGGGCGGCTCGTACATCATAGGGGCCGCCGCATGAAGTTCGAAGGGAGGAAGGAAAAAAAGGGGCCCAGGTCTCCGAGAAGGGCAGAGATCTTCGCGCTAGATTGGCGTCCGACCTTTCGCTTGCACAAGCAACATACCCGTCGCAAGAAATGCATCTCGCAAGGCGAGGGCGGCGTTACGTTGTGAACGTGCCGGATCGTCATAACGGGGCTCCGCAACGTACTCTGAATCGGAAATCTGCGTGGAAGCTGCGAGCGGGCGGATAATGACTTTAACACGTATCGCAGAGAGTGAGTGTTGATCAGATAACGAGAGAACGCTGCAAGAGAGAACCATGGCAAGACCGAAGGGACCGTAGTTTCGTATAAGAGAAACCAAAGTAAAAAACTTGAAAAATAGCTACTTCGATGTACCGTTGTAATCGGGAAGATAAATTCGATCTATCTCTATACTGGAAAGATTCAAGAAAGACCTAGACCAGTATTTATAGTCGAATCTTATATTCAAGATTGTCTTAAGTACGATCTTAAGATATCATGAACTAATCAAAGGACTGTATTAGCATCTTAAGACATTACTTACTTATCTTAAGACGGTCTTAAAATAAGAATCGACTATGAATACCTAGATTATTTTTTAATATTTATAGATAGAAAATATAAATTACCGAATACATTTTCTAAAATTGTTTTCTCTAATCGTTCATCCAGCTGTGTACCTAATTTAAAGAGTTTTAATTCGTAGTGAATACGAAATGTTTTTTAAACTGCAATAAATATTTCTCGATTTTATCTAATTATTGTATAACTTAATTACTTCACCAAAGGTAAACAACTTGACTTCTGAATTCCGTGCTAATTCGACTCGCTTGCAAGACGTCTCAACATCACAAACGAAACGTGGAACGCGTCGGGAATTCGTTTGTTTTCGAATCCTGAAATAGAAGCTGCGGCCTTCTGGGAACGCACGTCTGTAATCTCTCAGAAGATCTATCCGACCTGTAATTATAAATCCCACGAACGAAGATATTGAACATTTAAAGAAAATCGTCGCAATTAATGAACTCTTCATTGTTTTCATTTTTCTAAATATTCCTACTTATGTATTTCATTTTCAAAAAGAATTTTATTGTCTTCTATAAAAAACAAAAGCTATTTAAGTAACTCAACTGAATCCCCATCGTTTGTTTCCATTGGCTCACACTGTTTATTTCATGAAACAGCGATTAAAGTTAATATCCGTTATAATCTCTTACAATATGATCTCTTGCAACGAAAATGAGTATAATTTCTTTATTAATAATTATTATCTATTACTTTACTATTAATTTTATTATTTATTATTTTACCACAAACTTTTTATCTCTGGAGAATCAAATATTTTAAATCATTATACACTTTAATGCTTCTAATTGAAGCTTATGACAATTGAATGTCAATTGAATATAGTTGACTCATTAATCAGAAATTCAATATTGTATTAGCTACGCTTGTAATTAATTACCGTTGCTATGCCTTAAGCAGTCGCGCTCACGTTACCATGCCGAAGAATTATTGCACCGTTAATACGCTGACGTCTGACGGTTAAAATGCAAGTCGTGCATTTCGATATCAGAAGTCGCACTTACCAGAATCGGACCTCCGTCCTTGCTAGAAGCTGAGACCGTAGCACCGAACCACTGCAGCGTCTTATTGTCGATCTGACTCAAGCTACCAGCGAGATTTGGATTTCTGACGTGATTATGTCCTGCAATAAACATATTTTTTTATGCATATTATCAATAATTTGCATATTTTCAAAATCACTTAGGTATTAAATAATAAAAAGCAATCGCTAGATATATCGTGAAAATTTTGACATAAACCAAAAATTCTCTGGTGGATTAGTGCGTTTGTAGAAAAATAATTAAAGAAATAATTCAAATTTTATAAAACTTGTCAGAGATAATTAAATTATTTTGAGAAATAAATAAGTCGTGCATTTATTTCAAATGTTACAAAACTCAGAAATACATTATTATATTATTATATTATTTATTTGTAAATTTGTGGTACCTACTAAGAAAATAATGTGTCTTATAAAAAGTACAAAAGAATATTATTCTCAGATCTATTCAAATTATTTAGTGCGATTAATAAGCGTATCGATAATAGGAATTGATATCTAGTTATGCTGTCAGACAATCACTTAACTGGAAGTAATCTAATATGTCTCTGAATGAGATGAAGCACACGTTGAAAAGGAACGATATCAAACGACAAGGACGAGTCTTACTGACGTCTGCACCTCGTAATTTTACTATAATCCCAGTCGGGTTAATCCCAGTCGAACTCAACCTTCGTATTCATCATATCAAAGGTACCATTTATGGAAGATAATTTACTGAAGAGTAAACCAGCCACATGCGGGCAGACGAGTACAAAATGATCGATTCGTGAATTGCGTTTCTTTTTTGAGTCCTCCTATTATCTTTCATCATCGTCAAAAACGGATTATAGTGATATATTGATCCGATTCAGAAATCTGATTTATTCAAACGAGGAGAACGAATCAGATAAATCGCATATCGAAAATGGGAAAAACTTTTTGTTAGTTGCATAACAATATAAATAAGATGATATAAGTAAGAGAGATATCGCAGTATCCGAAATATATATATCCGAAATTGTTGGTACAATCAAAATATTTCCTTTCAGTGTTAGTAAATTATTTGATTATTAATTAAAATTCCTTCGTTTTTTGCACAATGCAAAATGTAAAAAAATGATGGTCTGAATCGAGCGGTAATAAAGTAATTTAATCGCATACAATGTTAGTATGATAAATAGTGAATATCAGAAAAACTTAATATAATAAATCGTACGTTTCAGAACTCACAGGTCCTTCTTCAGCGATTCATAAAATATGGATGGTAATATATAATAGATGAATAATCTTACAGTCAGCAAGGCATAGTGTGATATTGTTTCGAAGAATTGATCCTCCTGTTTTTATGTGAATTGTGTCTAAAGTTAGAAATTCATTGTCACAATATATCGGAAAGTCGTAAAGTAAGTTGTCAAATTGTTCTCTATTGTCCATCTTTGTATTAAATCAATTTAAATATTCATAAAATGAGGTTGAATTTTTACAATATGCATCAAAAACAGGAGCATCTTACAAATTCGTCTATATACTGTTGAGCGCAAGTATTACAATGGTGACAAACAGGTATTAAGGGTATCGATATTTGTTTATTTGTCTGACGATTTTTCAATAAAGTAACAATAAGAGTCGTCCAGACGATCCGTGTTTTTCTAAGAGTTAATGCTTTTGTTTTGTTTTTTAATGTGTAGCATCTCTGAGATAATTCTTTTGTTGTAATTATTTTCGATATCTAGAATTAAGACTCCCTTCCAATCAAAATTGTAATCGCAATTCAATCTATGATCGAAGATGACGGAGAGGAACTCTGCTTGACTTTAATGAAAGTAATTCAACAAAGTCACATCACAGATTGACGTTGCAATTATCGTTCGATGATCTCGAGAAAAGAGCTGCGGACAGGTGTCATAGTAAAGAAGCCTTAAGAGTCCTGTACATTTCTTTATCGATTTTACGAATTGAGCGAACCCGTTAGCCAGTATCGATCAAGTATAATCCTTAAAGGGAAGTTGTCCTTCGCTTCACAATCCTTGCCAGAACGTTATGACTAAGAAACAAACAGATAATGATACCGATCTCGAATATCAAAATTGATTTAACCTAAGCCACTCGACAGATATTTTCATAGCGCAACATGTACTCCGTGCTTAACAAAACTTTATTCGTATATCAATTATAATTCAGTTTTAAATTGATTTCCTTCGATTTAAATTAATTATAAATTAGACACTTCGATAATTTAATCATTTCATGACTATGTACTTTTTAATTTCTTATTAATATGCTAATTGCACAATGATCGGAGTGAAGAAGGAGATGAAGGATGATCAACTGAAGTCGTGAAATATTTCCGACCTTCGGAAATTAGTCCTTGAACAGCACACGGCAAGAAACATCGTACCTTGGCAGAGGCAGGGCTAGGACAGAATGGTCTTACGGTTTTCTGTATTAGGCATCGTCAGCTTCTTGTAGCAGGACAGTTCTCAGTATCTCCGGACAGTCCGCTGTGATACTCCATGATACTCGGCAAAGCGTAAGACGAGAGGAGTTTCTCCTCAAGACGATGTATTCGTGTGGTTGTAGAGTGAGTGACCTCAAAGACCTGGACGAGATCTCTTCCTCGTACGCAGACAGAATCAGCGATACGCAATCGAGAGGATTGTTTGGCACTTTGACGTGCCGCAGGTGGAGCAACGAGATACATCGCAAATAAGGATCGAAGACGAGATTTCGCATATTCCTGCCTGAATTATAAAGAAATCGGAACGACCTTCTCATCTCTTGCAATCTCGATTATAATTCTGCATAATGAATTTACCAAATGTTTATATTTGCACGAAGAATAAATGCTGACATAATTCTGTCAAGATATATCATAACATGTAGTAATTACAAAGAATTGAGATAAGAAAAATAATTGGAAGAAAAGAAAAATAAAAGAGAATAATTATATTTTTCTTTTTTTCTTTTTTTTTGGAAAAACATTTCAATGATATAACGATTATAATCGGTAAAATGACTAGTTTTCTTCGGAAATCGCGTGACCAAAATTAGACATTCTGTATAAATTACTGATTATGGCAAATTCTTTGAAATAACAAACTAATGCTGTCAAAATTCCATCACAAAACCAAGCAGCAGTTATTTTGGAGAGCAACTCCGTTCGCAAGTTTCAACAGCACATTGTAAATTCGGACGCTGATTAACCAACTACTATTTTAAACCATGACAGTGTAAACGTCAAAAGAAATACAGACTCGTAAAACGGCTTGTTCTTGGAGAACAAATCGAGATTTTACGCAATCTCTTTTTTTAACCTCAATGTTGAATATCATTATTTATACAGCGGCAGCTTAGAATCGTTCATGACGTGTGTAATCTTAAAAAGATAACTCGTTTAAAAGAAGCAAAACGTCAAAATATTTTATCAGTATTGAGTAACCACTAGCACTGTTAAATATAAACATACATGTGCAAGCAACTTTCTTCCAGTTTCAACATCCACGTGACGGTGTGCAAATCAAAGTTATTCGCGCAAAAATCATCAAATATTGCGATTTAAATCGCGTATTGTAAGCTTTTCGACAGTAGGGCGAGAAATGATCGAGATATTTTCATCATCGCGCGTGCACGAGAAAATCGAGCCGATAATTGGCGACACATTGCTATTACGATCTTAACAATCTTGGACAAGATCGAGGAAGGATAGGAACATACGATCGGCCTAATTATCGATCAAAGCAAAATGTGCTCGCTCGCATGTGTAATGATAGCGCCGGTGTTAGTAGAGGAGGAAATCGACTAATTGGACGTACAACTTGAGATCTTGTGTGCACAGCCGGCGAAAGCCGGCAAGCCTTTTCTTGCGATCGAAGAGAACAGAGAGAAAACAAAGACCAGAGCGAAAGACCAGAGGAAGCTCAGTCCCGTTTCTTACTACGATCCTCGTACGAACGCAAATTCATGAAATCAAGAATAGGAATAGAAATAAATTTCAAGAAAACAGGTTCACAGGAATTTCATGCGTGAGTGGTCCGATTCTCTTAAGTTTTATTAGTTCAGCTGTTCCGCCCTGTCATCATTTAGATCTGACTTATTTATGACTATTAATCGTCTGTAAACTTAGTCCGCTAGTTTAATTTAATTTACTTGTTCCGTACACCTTCTCCTCTCGCAGTTGACTGTATCGTTTATCATGAAATCAAAAATTCAGATATTGAATCGAATACGTTTGGAATAATCTTGTGTTATCGCGAATATTCAATATTAAAGAAGACTTCAGATACGTAGAAATAATCACGTCTAAGAAATCATCTGAGACCTCGATAGAACACGGTAGGTACGTTGCGAGCAGGATATTTTTTTCTCACGTAGTGTACGAGTCATCACGGCTCAACTATCTGGCATCCGCGCGTTTTATCTCGATCATGCGCGAACGCACTAAAAGAGAAGAATTGTATTACTGTCGATCGCTCCTTTTATGCCGATCCCGCGTTGCCGCCGATTGATCCCGTTCGCGCTCCATTTGCTGGATAATATAACGTGAAATCAAGCGCTTGCCGCGCCCGATCGCGTGATTTCCTGCCGATCATGCTCGCGCCCAGCAATCTCGCTTTTCTTTTCGCGGACGCATACAACCAGCTTCGCGTTACAAGTTACAACGTTGAGAGAACGCGAATCAGGATCGCGCCGGATCGCGCCGTATCGCGCCGCTGATCATCGCCCGTCGAGACACGGCATTACGAGATGTTTAAACCGCATCTAATTCACGCCGCGAGTTTATCCCGCTAATTTACATTAGCGCGTTCGATTCGCGCGCGTGTTTACGAGCGGTGCGAAAGATTACATCGAGCGCGAGAGCATGGTGCGAATAATATTTTTAACCCCTCTCTCTCTCCTTCACCGGCTTACTGGAGAACTTTATGAGCAAGCAATGTGCTCTAAACGCAATCGCTTTAATTGGTTCGCGTGCACGTTACCGCCCTGCTAGAAACTTCGCTACGTTTCTCTCGTGGATTTATTATATGAACCTGAGCGCGGCCGAAGTTCTCGGTTAGAGAGCACGAATTTATGGTGGTAATCGGATTTGTTAAGAATCTTTTCCAAGCAGCATTTAAATAGCTTTACATTAAGCTTTACTTGAGCTCAACTAATGAGGTCACTTTGAGAGTCCTGTTGTAAAAATTAAAATACACACCGAGAGAAAAAAATAATTGCACAATTATCATAATTTAACTATAAAATGACTATGATTTATAGTCACTTTCGGTGCTATAAACTATATATTGTTTTTAGTACACAATTATAAATATAATTATTATTATTAACGTTATAACAGTAATAATTATAAAAATACAATTTCTAACCATAATTATTTTACTATATAGGTAATTATAGTCATAAATATCAAACATTTTTCCTATCCAAAACTTAGCGAGTTCAACGTTTCTCTCTCTCTTTCTCTCTCCATCATCTCGTTGAGCGAGATAGAAACAAAAAAAGATAGATGTTATTAACAGCCAGTCGCTGGACAGAAGTCTAACGTTCATTTATTTAATTTTCTCTCTGTTTCGCTCAACGAGATGATGTAAAAGGAAAGCGCTTAACTCGCGAGCTAAGTTTTGGACGAGCCTAATGTAGATTATATAGACTAACGTAAATCCATTTTACAACAATCATCTGCAATACTTATCTATTAAATTACGACAAATTTAAAGGAAAAACGATATTTTCGTCCTAAAGCGATATGGAGATATTTTCTATAAACATCTAATTTATGATAAAATTGTTTTTCAATTTGATTGTCAGCTGTCAAAGATAACGTTAAACACAATTTCTTAATAAATCAAGACAATTTATGTCTCAAACGTTTAGAATTCTCCTTATACGTAGAATACATAAACATATTGCAACGTAAATTCTAGGCATGATAAATCATATATGATCAGTATTCAACATCACGTGCGGCAATTGCCAAGCATCAAAATATGGTAGGGTCAACGGCAGGGTGGATATATTGGCACTAAGAATAGCATATACTGTAACCAGTTCGTCGGTTATTCGAGATTATGAAGCTTCGTTGGCGCACCGATGTCGGAGGGAAGGTAAAATGTGGGTCAACTGTCTTCTTTTGCAAGACAGTCCGGCGAAATCTAAGGCGGGAATCTCTTATTTGTATTTTTCAACACTCTAAATAAATCTAAGAGGTCATCATTTTACTAAAAAATGTTGAATTAGACTGAAAAATATAATAGAATATTTATAAATATTTCAAATTCATGTTAGTGAGATTTTAAATAAAGATTTAAATAAAGATTAGTAATCACTTTCAGGTTTTTGCAACAAATATAAATAAAATCATTTTTATATTAATTTAAGTTATATAACTTAAATTATATAACTTAAGTTATATTATATAAATAGGTCAATAGTAGTTCATTGCAATAAGATAATTAAGTCTACTTCTATCTCTATACGTCGGACAAAGTCTAGTCAGTTAATTACGATAAACAGCTAATTATATAACAACACGTTGTTTACCGCAGAATAGCAACACTTTCCGTAATTAGTATCTGTCCTGCATATTGTTTCCATTTAATTATTCTTGGCGAGCAAATTCCGAAACCGGTCTTGTCGCGCCGATTCTCGATCGTGAATGATGATCGAGCGTTTCAGGCCGGTGATCGTTCACTGATCGATTTTCATTCTCTGAGAAACGTCATCAATCGGCGACACTAAAAAGTCTGTGGTTTCGAATTCACAACGTTCAATTACTTGCTCAATGGATCGCCAATTATGTCATACACGATCGAGCATGCGGAATCTCTCGAAGCCATTACATTACTCCGCGAATGCATTAATGTTTCAACGCCGGCGCTGTTGACGTGGCGATCTAAATTAGTCCAAGATTAATGTGAACAGAGTGAAAGAACTCGTGGTCCTAAATTTACTTCCATCTACTCGACCGATATTTACATGATTGCACATTAATTCTATACTATTTTCAATCAAAGGGAACACCCTGTCAATCATTGATAAAAGCGTGCCATGCGTATACGTCATTCGTAAATTAGTATCGCTTTAGCATTTAATAACTTAGACGTGTAATATCCTTGAGTATGGAAATTTCAAGACAGCAAGCAAGATCTAATTTTTTCCATTAAAAAAAAATCTCATGAACTGTTTATAATCTTATAAATATTATATTGTGATGTTTTTACAAAATTTATTCGACGCAAGATTTTTTATCTTACGCAAGAGTTAGCGCATGTAGTAAATTCTATATTAAAATTTTTTATCCTTCGACGAGAGGTTTCAAAGTTAACGATCACCGAGAATTTTAGGCCTCTATGAATCATAATTAGTTGAAGCGTCATTAACGCGTCATCTGTCAAAATTAAGATAACCAACGTCTATGATCTCGTTACCTTTATCGTCAAAATGGATTATGTTGCATCTATCATCAGCCGCGATATCGCATTTATAGACTGCGCCTCCTCGGTAGACGCCAACTTGCGCAGTTTCAGCCTCTGGTGCGCCCACGATTGCCCTGAAAGAAAAATAAGTAACACGTTATCAGCGAAATCGAATACCAACGAAAGTATCGCGCTGCAGCTTCAATTTAGACTTCGTTATATAAGCTTGTTTGTCTCGAGACCACAATTTGCAATTGCGAATTGTTTTGTAAAGGCAATCGCGTTCAAGATTGATTTCATCGATATTATCACTTGTATCGATTTAAACAGCTCTCGATAACGGATGCAGTGCGTCCGAGATTTGAGGTCAGTGGTCGTGGATTATTTTGAGCAATGGCGCAAGATCTAGCATCTAGCAGCAAGTTCCGACTAATGGATGAACGATGAATCATGAATAGCTTTTGCTGTCAGAATCTCAAATACAGTTGCCAGGGTCTATTGAGATGTCAAGAACTGCCAATTATGTGTTCTGAACTAGGCAATACTATACTCAAGAAGAGTCATCAAAACGTGCGCGTGATCGTACCATTTGCTTCTCAATAATTTTCTTTCCTCTCTTACTGAGAAAGCACTACAATCTGACTTATTCCTGACCCTGCAATCTCATATCACTAATAGACTTCCTTTCAACGCTTCACTCGTTATCGATCCGTTTTAAGTCTTCTCTCTTATCTGCCTTACTCTCTCTTTTTTCATTTATCTTTCCATTACCTATATCAACTTATTATTCGTTCGCAAGAATGAGAATTAATTTCTTTTGTCATGTAACCTTTTCGCAAGATATGTTATCTAATTGATTGGAATGACCACCGTTGTTTCAAACAAATCGTAATGCATTTTCAAGCGGCGATAAAATGTCGATAAGAAATTAATCGTGAATGGTAGCTGTAAAATGGCAGGCAGGCACTATAATTCTAAGTAGTTTTCGAAGGAAAGCATTGCGACGCGTCGTAATTACTCTAAGAGATCTCTTGCGCGCGAAAATGGCTTTATTAATGCAACTTTTATTACGCATAATTAATCTTAACGGCAACGCCCTGGGCGTCAAATAATGCGATTAAGTGCGGGCCGACGTGAGAAAAAAAACTGTAGCGAAATAACGAAGATCCCCCCCGACACCTTCAATTACGTTAATGATCGCCGCTTTGCGTGCCAAATTGGCCATTACCGTAATTGAATGGAAGACGCTTTTTTTACGTATTCTGAAGTCCAATTTATTATATCTGCATAATATAATTTGTTGTCCGGTGTGCCATGCCGGTTCGAGGACCAGTCCTGATATAACGTGACCCAAAGAGACGAGAATAAAAGAACATGATGTGACCGCGGGCATTATCAGCGCACCCAGACAATATGAAAATGGGATGGCGTAAGACAATCGATCGTATAATTATCTCTGGAGGGTGTGCCAGCCACGAAGCTCAAAAAGAGCATTCCAGTATTACCCTGACCTATCGGTTAGATAATTAATTTCATTAGCGTTGGAAAATATCAAACTTACGCATAGGGTGATGTGTATCTATAGTTTTTACTCCGATGACTGACTCTTTTTCTTTATTAATCGATAATTCTTTGTTCTCCGATTTTTACTGTTATCTCTAAAAACCGAGTTCAAAGTTATTTCAAAGAAAAGAATTTGAAGATCCAACAAACTGCTTTGAATGGGATGAATAAGCAACTTATCGAAGATAATTTTCGATAAGTTAAAATCCTCCACATGCATAAAATTCTTTTTAACAAATAGTTTGAATACGAGAACCTTTTCCGGATATTGCTATGTTTACTTTATGACAAATGATATGACAAATGATGTGGCTTCTATCATCTAGCATCGTTAGCTGATTCCGGAATATTAGCTCGACAGGGAAAAGGGTAAAAGCTTTCTTTCCTCCAGACGGAAATTATTTCGTCGCTATATACCTACGCGATATGGCGAGATCGCAGTGACATACTTTATGTTAACTTTCTGAGACATCGTAACATTATATTGCAAGTAAAAATAGAAAAAGAAAATTTATATGCTTTAATTTTCATATCAAAAAGGAACTTGGTTTGATAAAAATCTCTTAACTGACACACATCTATTCATATTATTTACTTAGTATCTAAATAAAATTCCGCAGACTAAATATTATTATTTCCTAAACCTATTTCTAAGTTATTTCTACATTCATTTATATTATATTTATTCTTTATGTTGCGCATTAAGATTAAATATGTGAGTAATTGCATGCATATACATTAAATTATACGTGAATAATTAATCAAATTGAATTCAAGAGAAATTGCACCATTAAAATGGCGTGTAATATATTCTTCAAATCATAGAACGATGACGAAGCAATCATCTTCAAAAGAGTCGAATGAATAATTATCTGCTCGCACAATTTAACTCTGATCCACTGACCCAGTTTTGGGTAACGCTGCTAATTTAAAGCCTATTAACATCGAGACGCGCTCAATAAACGATAACCGATAACTTCGACCATTGTTCTTCGTCTAATCATTCTAATCTGCGCCGGGAAATTCAATCGATAATGATTACACCATCCCATATCGCGCGCAATTAGTGTTATTAAGGCTCGACCTATGGCCGCACTTGAATAGGCTTTGATGATCAATCATAATTCAAACGACGTTTAAGCTATATCACAACTTAACGTTTGTATAATAAAATCTTCCAAATTACTCGGGTGTTGCATACGCAATTATTCAAGTGTATTATTATTTATTATCGACGGAAATCTCGGCGCGAAACAGATTCCATATCGTAGGTCTCCATCATAAAACATGGAAATATCATTGCCCATGTAGCAACCTTGGCATACATTGGCTTCTGGGTTGCATGATTGGTGCAGTGTGCGTAGGTAAGCGCCACACATACTCATACGTGGAAAGAGAAGAGCCGATTATACCGCTTATGTAAGTGATTCATAAGCGTATGCTTGACGTGCCGTCGAAGTCACATGCCACAATATCGATAACAGTAAGCTAGCGGAATTTATAAACGGCTATATAATTTTCCGATTGACGGATTCATTTAAGAATCAAAGATAAAAGGTAGTTCCTACCATAATTATCGTAACACGTCATCATAATTAATAAACAAAATAATCGAAATGGATTATCCTTCGCGAGGCGTAGTCAGAGATAATACAAACGTTAAATTGAATGAGTTTGCGGTCAAGTAAGATTGAAGTAATAATTAGAGGCGGTAAATAATGACCGTGCGCGAAGAAATGAAATGACCACAAAACTCGTTTCTATAATACATTGTGCAAGAACAAAAAGAGTGCCATAATTGCTAGAAGAAGAACATCGCAGATTGTCTGGCACAGGTAATTTTTTTAAACACTATAAAGTAAAAACATACAAATATAAGTGCTTGAAACATCATTACGAGATAGCTCTTAATTTTATCTATTCATTTGCCATTCGATCGTAATTTCGCCATGCGATTATCATTTTCCATATATTTATCAAGTTGAATTACTATTGTAAAACTTTTTACACGATCAGTAGTAATTTAAATAAAATTTACTTATATTTACAGTGATATTCTCTTTCTCAGATTAACATAATGCATCATCATTATTGTAATGTTATTATCAGAAAATTTAGAGAATGAAACTCGGTATTAAACTCGCATTTAAACAGGACTTTGACGTGCGATGGATGAAGGCTCGCGCTACTTCAACGACGAACAACGTGGGCTGAACCTGACGAGGTTTCAAGCTCTCGCCTACACTCTACTTTTTTGCATTCGTGAGGAACTACGGCCACCAATATGTGACGCATGCATGTGAACGGGAATGCAGGGGCGAACCGGTCCCACAGGATAGTCGTTGGCTGGCATCGTCAGGGATTCTCGCGAGCGCTATTCGGGAATATCGATGGAGTATGTATGTGGGCTTCGAGTTAAGCGAATCATGCGAATAGGTGCGATCAGTGGGCGTTCGAGATGGCCTGTCGTCCGAATCAGGTTACACGAACAACCTGACTGTCGAAGAGAAAGTCCCAGAACCCATTGGTTCTTAATGTCATTTTGATGTCAGAGTCTTTTATCTAGCAGTCTTTTTCGTGCACGGAAATACCATACATATATGCTAATATATATGTATATGGTTCTCTCTTGATGCAACCTATTTTAATCTTCTCAGAAACTACTTTATTTTTTCTTGAAGGATAATTCTTTGACAAGGAAATGTTATTAATCGAAGAAAAATAGAATGAAATGAACCTAATAACATACTTATGATGATTAAATTTTATGCATTTTTATTTTAATGCATCATCGTTTATCAAAAATGTATCTATATAGTATTATTATGATATAAAATATAATATGGTTTAAGACTACAGCTTTTACGATCAACTCATGCGATCAAATCAGCGTCGAAAATAGTCTCGCAGCTGCAACCGTCTTTATGCACCTGCGGTCTTGCAGTGTTTATCGTCACGCAAATATTTTTTAGTGGCAAGAATTCGACGAGTTGGCGATTTTCAAGGTTTCGGTCGTAAAACGGCGAATTCGTCTATTCGAGCTTATACGAGCGAGTTATTTAATAAAATCGATCGTGCGAGAGTACAAAACTCTGTCTTCAGCGCAGCTTTAGTTTCCTGAGTGATCGATGCGATGACAATAACTCTAGAAATATCTGCGCACTTCATATGCAAATTCTATTTACGATCCATTACAGCAACTGTTGTTTCACGATGCGGAAGCATTAACGGACTATTAATAAAGATGTGTAATTAAAGTTAAGTTTCAGAATCATTATATCAAGTCGTTATTTCTTTCTTACGTAGCCCGTTACGTTTTAGTTACGTTTTGACATCAAGTGCAAACAGATTAAATAAAAAAAATCGCGCCGTGAGGTAACTCGATACTCTCCGTATCGTGCGCAATGTTTTCCGAGACGCAGCACGTGCTACGTTGCATCGACTACTTTGCATAAGTTTCCTGGCGAACATCGAAATCTGCATAGGCCGCGCATGGCGGCTCCTTTAAGCTCTCGTCCATTCGCGCATGAATTAGAGAGTGACTCGGTCGTCGTTGTTGTCAGGTGTAACT